CAATTGAAGCCAGAACTTTTCCTTTTAGGACTGATGGATACACAGTTAGAAAAGAGTCATGAAAGATTATTTCAATATATAATTACTGTGGTGAGATTATTATATGCACAAAGATGGAAAGATTCAGCATTTCCCACCATGAAGAATAGTTGCTGAAATTGACAGAACTTGCTGAGATGGCCAAATGACTTCTTTCAGAAAGATCATTATTGACATTTCTAGAGAAAGATCATTATTGACATTCATCAATGATGAACCCCTTATGGATTTTTTGCATAAAAAAGAATGATTTTGTGACTTAAGGTTTTGATGGTTAGGAAGACTATGTTATAGAAAGAAGGGGATTACGATGTAATCTTAGAGAGGTTTGATTAGAATTGTATGTATAACTTCTGAGAGGAAGATTGGAAGCCATTTTTTTATATTTCTTTTCATGTTTTCTGTTCTTTTATTTTTTTTTCTATCTCCTTTTTTCTATGTCTCTTTTTTCTTTTCTCTTTCACATTTACTATATCTTTTTATTTGAATGTACTTATATATGTAAAATCTTTTAATAAAAACTTTTTTTTTAAAGTCTCTTCTCTTTCCTTCCTTGCCCAACTATCCTTTCCCTTATCTGATTTCTATTCAGCTGGGTTCCTCCCCTCTCTGTTCTTTCAGAGCTGATACACTACTTCTTTACCCCATCTCCCTCACTGTTTTGTTTTGTTTTGGCTGGGGAGGTGATGTGTGTACGTAGGATGCATGTTCTTATGTGACAATCGTTTGTATGCTTGTGAGAGAATAGAGACATAGTGGCATATGTAGAGGGCAATCTATTAATTTTAATTACATTGATTTTAGAGAGAGAGAGAGAGAGATCCTGGCCCTAGCCTTTCTTTAAAAAATATGGATTCTAGAACATAGATGTACCTGTATCACACACATAGATATTTGGGGTGTGGCTTGAGGTTGTCCAGGACTTGTTTCAGGGCAGCTGGCAATGGTAAGTAGACAGATAGGGATCCATTGCACTGGATTTTGTCATTCCTCTAATAATTGGAAATTCAGAACTGTCTTCTTTCTGCAATTTGACTGTATTAAATTGTGATTATGGAATACTTTGCTGACTAATAGAAAAAATCGTGCTAGTCAAAAAAGACAGGTCACTTTAAAACTGAAGAGTTCGACAGGGTAAACCTTATGCCATTTTGAACAAAAGATACATAGCTAAGCAGAATAGTTGTTTAATCATGAAATATCATAGAGGTGAAAGCATGGAGTTAGCACAAAATGAAGACTGTGTTCTTCATCCTAGATTCCCCTCCATTTCTTGTTTCTCCATCTCAGATTCTTTGTTCATCTTCATTTCCAGTTTTGATCTTTCATAATCCAATGCAATTGTAATGTTGTCTTTAGTCTTCCCAAACTTATTTTGTTTCCAGGACAAATGAAGCAAAATCTAACAAACCACTTTTGGGTTAATGTGTTTTTGGATTAGCATGTTGGTTTTAGCATGTTGGTTTGTATGCTATGCAAACCAGCCATTGAGGCCTGAAAATCATGGTTTGTTATTTCTGAAGTCAGCCAGTTGTAGCACACTCAACTGATAACGATTCAATCATGGCTTATTATGAGGCTTAAAATCAGCAACTGAATGAATTCAGAGGGAGGCGACTTTTCCTGTACTGAGCTGGAACAATGAATGCCTTAACTTTTTCCTTTCTCCCAGGGTGGAAATTATGAATTAGTCATAGCAAACCATGAAGTCATGTCAGGATCTCCTATTGCAGAGTAACTTGCCTGCCTTTTTAAAAAAACAATTATAGTTTTTCTAGGCCCTCTAAAAGCTTTTGAGTTTCCAGGATCTCTCTCGGGTAGATAAAAAACCAAAAGGGGGAAAAAAAGGGAAGGAATTCCCTCCCTTTTGGAAGTGATGGGGAGAGAGAAGCTCGCAAGGACTTCGTGCACTGGGTCTGCGGGGTGGGCCTGTCACACGCAGCAGAGACCGCCTCTGCGTTACATCACTGCTCTTTGCAGCAGCGGAGCCTCCCCGGGACCTCCGCGAGCAGGAAGTCCAGCAAGCGCGGCCAAGCCAGAGGCGCGAGGCACCCCGCGCTGCCCGGAAGCGCCTTCGCTCTCCAAGGAGACGCGGCTGGAGCACGTGGCCGCCGCGCCGGAAGACTCCATCTCCCGGCCTGCACCGGGGCGACTTCCGCCTCCGCCCAGGCGAAGACCGGCTAGGAGGCCCAGGCATG